CTATGCCTCAATGAAGTCCAAACATCTTAGTGATCATTAAAGGCCCTCAACAATGTAATGTCAACCCAATAACACAGCTTCCTCTTATAATTCCATCTTTTATTCTATCTGCCCTACTCGGTAGGCAGACTACCTTACACATACTTCCTTGAAATTATTTTGCATCTTTACTTCTCCTGTCTTTACTCAAATGTCTTCCAAGGTCTAAGGTAGTTTTCCTACTACTTATTGGACTTCGAAAAATACTATTCATCCCTAAAAGCCTTGTTCCTTTTGCAAGCTTTCATGAGCCCCTGAAGAGAACTGATCACTTGCTCCTCTTCAATCTCAAAGCAAATTTGTAAGCATACACTCCTTTAACTTTTATCACATTTTGGGAGTGATTTATGGTTATTGTTACGCATGGTTATATGACTATCCCATTAGAGTATAAATCCCAGAGAATAGAGGTCAACGTTTATCTTTCAGTCACTCCACTACCTGCCATAGTGCCTTACATGAAGTATCATATAAATATGTATTGAATGAACAAGTGGACAAATAAAAGAACAAATGTAATGGCAAAGAAATATTTATTAACATATTTGTTTTTGCCCAGCACTGCCTGTGTTAAAGAGGGTGTATATTCTCAGGAAAAAAAAAAAATGAGCTAGATAAATATCAATTTTACTAATAATTTATTGGCTATTTGTGTCTTAACTCACTAAATAAATTTCCTTGAAATATTGACCCCCCATCTCATGGAGTTTTCTTCCTTTCCAACCCTTGATCTACCCATGGTGCTTTTAACACCCTCGAAGATGTTTTATCCAATAAAGCTCTTTGTTCTTCTTGACTCCAAGCAAACTTTACACTCAATGGTGTGCTCCTAAACCATCTCTCTGAAAGAAAAAAGCCTTGATTTTTAGCATTTGCCAATTTCTGTGATGTAAATCTCTCAATATTTCTAGTTGCAAGGGCGGTTGTGTTCAACAACCAGTTTGCAATATTCCTGAGAATTCAGCAATCACTGCCTATGAGCACATACAAACTAGCTCCAGTACACCGTTTTACAGCCAATTTTCAACAGTCTACTCCCAGAGCTACATCTTGGACCAGAGACTGCCATTTTGAAATCTTAACTGAAATGTATGATGTTCCTAACAAAATCCTTTGTCTCTCTCTCTCTTTCTCTCTCTCTCATGGTGCCACTTATTAAACCTAGACTCCATGGTAAACCACTTCAACTTTTCTCTTGACAGCATCATCTGTATACTAATTCCCTCATGCTTCCATTGCCTCTTTTCTGCAAAATTTCAACCTACTGTCAATCCAACCATCTGCTGTATCTGTTACTACATCAGTATCAGAATGCTGAGAAATTCAGACAAAATCTCACAGCCACATGAATTGTTGTGACATTCATGTTGACTTCCAACATCAAATGAGACCTTCAGCTTTACTAGGAATTCCTCTTACATGGCCCTGAAGCATTCCTCTATTTCCTTCATTAGTAGCTCATCCAAACCTTACCAACCTCCTCCACCTTGTGCATCTATATCATAGCCCTTGTCTTGTAGATGGGCATTTCTTGCCCTTGTAGACAACCATAGATAAGATTAGGGAAATACAGTATGACTCCTCCAACTTTTCACTCCTAAATCAAAAGCTTAGTGTTCTATGCAAGGACTCTCACACTATTTCTTCAAATTTCAAAACAACTTGTCTTTTCTGATTTCAAAAATTGTCCCTCCTTCCGTCCTCTTGACTGAACTTCCTTCTTTCTCCCCTGGGATGTTACTGCATCACTTATTCTCCATCTGATAAATCTGCAACTTCACTCTTGCAACTAGTTCCTTTCTAACAGTCTATAAACATGTTCAAACTTATCTTATTAAATAACAAATTCCTACCCAACCAGACAGTAAAAATAAAATCTCTCAAAATCTTCTCACTTTTGACTAATCTCTCTCTTTCTCATCTCATTCAAGTTCCTTGACAGAATAGTCTCTATTTCCTCACCTGCTTTCACTCTTTTTTCTCACATTTTTATTATACTATTAATACAAATAGAGAAAATTTTAGTCAAAAGATGAATACAAAAGAAAACCAACAAAATAGCTGTAATCCCATCAGGTTGCTGCACCATTGGCATTTTGGTGCATTTCATTCCAGTCTTATTTCTAAACCTCTGTGTATGTGTGTGTGTGTATGTGTTTTCAATGTTGGAATTAAATTGCATATAGATTTTTGTATCATATTTTTTCATTTACATTATATCATGGGTATTACTCAATTTTATGAACTCTTCCTTAAAAACTTGATTTTTAATGACTGCATTATGTTTTAGTGAATAAATGGACCTTCATTCATACAACTATTTATCTATGCCATTCACTGAACAACACTGTGAAATCAGGCTTCAACTTCAACTGCTTCACTAAGCAGTGACCTAATTGTCAAATCCAAAGGGCTCATTTCTTTCTTGATCTTACTTGAACTTTTTGCAACAGCTGACAATGTTATACACTCCCCTTTTCTCAAAATAGCTTTACCTTGCCTTTCATAGTATCACATTTTTATTATCATTTTCATCCAGTTTCTCAAATCATTTTCCTCAGCAAACTTTGCCTGCCTCTCCTCTCCACACCCAAGGGTTCTGTCCTTTTCACTTTATTCTGGAACATTTTTCTTCCCAATCATGACTTCAAAAAACACTTGTACACAAAACAATCTGAATTTGTAAGAGTATGATTTTCTTCTCTTTAAAATTTGTTTGTTTTATAATCCTCATAGGTAAGAAAGCTTTTTCCACTGGTTTATTTTTTGGAGACTCAAAATGTTTGGGTTACAGCTTTGAGAAGGATAAAGAAGAGCCAGTATAACATTGTCCCTTAGTTGGTAAGTAACAGTATCAGCTTCAGATGTCAGGTAAATAAGAACTTCAGGCCCTAAAGTAGAGGTGCGAGACATTAGACTTAGATATATTTGACTGAGCAAATAGCATTATTTTCAATACGTAGAGAAAAATATAATCGAAGTCAGATACCAAATTGCCGATTTATCAAGATGTAGTTTAAAGAAAGATTTCTTTTTTTGACCTTCTACATTAAGTTATTTGATTTACAAAATGAAGTTTGTTATCATTTTGTTGCCACTGAAACACTGAAAAATACTGAGATCAGTTTGGTTTCTCTTCTTTGGGTCAGCATGAAGTAAAGGAGCATGCTATCTAATTTTCTTCTAGGTAGCTTTTATGGTGGATATTAATCATATAAACACATCTTCTTTCTCAGAGGTAGTAAGGCTCAGTGTTCCATGAGATTGGCTTATTCTCTACAATGTACCCAGGCAGAATATTAAAAGCAAAACAATTTCATAACAGCGAATGCTTTATATTACAGGTAAAATCCTAAGACAATGAATACTGTTACTAAGATGAGATTTTTATAACAAAACTGTTCTATGATCTGGTATTGGTCATAATAGTATTTTGTTGAGCTGGCTAGGGAATGTTCTTTGATCTCAGCTCTTACAAGAGTCAATCTGTCTGACAAAAGTGTATGAGGTACTGTTTACACTATGAGTAGGGCCGGAGAGATGAAATCCTCTTACTCTGTACTTACAGTGCACTTTCAACTTTTACAAACTGTCTTACTATCTTTTACCTCATTTGATTTTCATCTCAAATTTGAGAAACATGTTAGAGAAATAATTGTTATCCTCATTGAACAGATTGAGAAATTGAATGACTGAACTCACTTGCTAAATTTGAATACAAACTCAAAACTCATGACTCCTAACTCAGTGTTTTCTTCTACTAGTTTTTATCATTAAATAGAAATTACTTTTTCCTTTGACCCATTCCAACTCATCTTACACATCTCACATGCATTTTTTTAGATGAAAAGGACAGGAAAAGAGTAAACACAGTAGCACATTTTTTTTCCTATTAGCTTTATACCCTTTATTTGCTGAGTCTCATTTGTTTCCACTCTGTGACATATACTCCAAAATTTGATTTCTAATAACATAATCAATAACAAAAATCTATTCAGTGAACCACTTTGGAAGTGCAATGGGAAAACTAACTATGCTGTCATGGACATCACTTTCCTACAATGAATCTTAGTTTGCTGCATGAAAAAATGAGAATAAAATACCTGTCTCACAGGTACATTGAACAGAGCTACTGCCTACCTAGTTGCCTTGGCCAAAACCCTTCCCTCAATGTCCACATCCCTAAAGACACCAAGTGCTCTTGATTCTATGCCCTGGAAAGCTCCAGAACTTGCCCTTCCTTCTTCATCTCCACTAATTCTGTTTTAGTTTAGATCCTCAACACTTTACTGGGATTACTCTTATTTATATGCTATTTCTAGTTTTGCCAATTTCCACTGTATTATGCTTACAGAGAATGAGTTCCAGCGACAGGTGCAACAGATTAATACTTGAGACTCCTTAGAATCCCTGCATTTCTACTTTTCAATGTGTTCTTGATGTATTTGAATACTTCAGGTGGACAGTTTTAATTCCGTACAGATAGTTCTCTTAGGCTTTTTATACACCTACTATTTTTTACTTAGAAGAGGCACTGTTATCCATCAGTACCAGTAAGAACCCACCAGAAGTGCAAATGGGGCCTAATAGCCTCCAGAGAAGTCAACCAAGCTCACAATTATCAGGGAACAGTATCTGAAATGGTGAATCCTAAATTTGCATACATGGAGAATTTCCTATAAAGTCCCAGTACAATCTCACAAAATGTGTTTTCTCCCATTGGAAAAGGTCATTCCAGATTTGGAGATTTAATATAATGAAGAGGCCAATTGATTGTCAAATAGTTATTTCACTGGATATGTTTCAAATGAATCTTCAGCTTTAGACCATTATACTAAGAGATAGTCCCTAAGATGTAACTTCTGCAATAAGATTCCAAGAATATCTTGAATCCAAAGCCTCTTGAAAATGTAACTCTCATAAGCTACTTGGAATTTTAAAGTTCAAAAAATAATACTTACACCAAAGTTGGTAGCGGCAAATCGATCTGAGGCAGAAACTTGTACATTTGTTGAAACTGTTGTGTGAGCATAGAAAGCATTTATATTCGCCAGCAAGGTGCTCATGACAGCAGGGACACCAGGGCACATGTATTTAGAAGACAAACATGAAAAGTGCCTGCAAGACAAAAACATTAAGCGCTTTTAAAACAGAAACTAATTAATTCACATAACAGCATATCCTCTAACGTCAGCAATTAAATAATTCCTCAACTACATCTATGAAAAGAAGAGACAACTCCCACAATCTCTAACTGAAAGAGAAAGCAATTTCAGACTTAGAAATTTCTCATTCACAAATGTGAATTGGCGTAATTAGAATGTGACTTGCCACAGGGATGTGCGCATAACTGCTTTCAACCGTGAGAGTGTTGTGTATACACACCAAAAGTACAACTTCTAGTGGAATCTAGCACTGTTGGAAAGCAATAACAGAGGAGTCTTTCTTTATCCACGAACTCCGTCTCCATTTACTTCAGTTCCTGAAATGCTGTATTCCAACTAGAGTGTTCCCTCACACTTGTATTCCTCTCACATTGATGAAGTGAGCAAGAGGAAATTCTTTCATTGCACATTGATTGAACAAGTGAACTTAACATCTGACTTGAGTCCAGTTTGTGAGCTTTTGTCATAAGGGAATATCTTTCATAAGCAGTTCTGTTTTCTAAGCATTTTGTTAAAACTAGGATTTAATTAGGCAAACAGATGAATATTGAGGATAGATTGAATTATGCCATCGTTATGCTTAAAGACCATTTCTTTTAAACCTTGAATAATAGTGTCATTTACAGACATCAGAAGCATCAAGTGTTCAATTCTGTTACTTATCTCAAGAAAACCTGTTTCATTTGAACTGTAACAAAAGACTTGAAAATTGAAAGCACCACTTATGATAAAAGTGAAAGATAAAATACTCACAGAGGAAAGAAATTTTCGGTACATAATCTGATCCAATTTTGCTCTCATATCTCAGTAGTTTATCCGCCACCTGGGCATCTCTGAATTTTTTATTATTGAACACAACACAGAATGTACATACATAAACAAGTGCCCTGAGTGGCACCTCAAAAGAAATGGATGGTGGTCCTGGAAATGGTCGCTTCTCTTAGATCTCAGACAGGCCACTCACCTAGCTTGTCATGATATTAGCTAATAAAAGCAGGTTAAAGTTTCAAACATGGATCTTTGAGGATCATGAATAACAATGTATGCCATGAGAGTTACATGATTTGTGCAATTTAACCCTAGAATTAGACTACCACTGATGCTTCTTTTAGGTAAATGATATGTATTTTGACTTTATTATACACTAAATTAATTATAATTAATATCTATTAAGAATACTACAAATTATATAAAGATATTGAAAATAGAAATTTAAAAACCCCTAGCACTATGTTCTCACATTTTTTTTTTTTCAAGAATTCACAAATAATTAGATTTGTCAGACTCATCAGAGGTCAAGAGTTGTGGAATGTGCAATGCCTAAACGTAACGATGTGGGGGATGCCAAAAGGAAAACATACACGCTTAGAGGGAACGAGAGATATAGAAACATCAGTTGTCAAAATAGATTAGTAAGAAACTCAAAGACCAAAAGTTTATTATCCAGATTGTGCATTGTCTATCTAAAGGGATACTGGAGGTCACCAGAATGAATAATTTTGTTCTTGATTTTAAAAGAGGATCAGTGCCCTCCTAATGCAGCCATGTCATTTAGTCTTTACTTCTTGTAGCTGCCACTCTATGCTGCCACAGCTTAGCAGGTACTTTAAGCAGAAATAATGGAGAAACATATGAATATTCTGCTTAACATACTCACTGAGTGAATTTTATAAGCGAAATAGAAAGTTTTATATTGAAAATGATGCAATTATTGAACATTGCTCACTGCTTATAGGCCATCTGAGGAAAAAATGAATGTAATATGGGAAGACCGAGGATATCAACAACCAAGCTTTGCCTGTTTTACACTTTGAGTTGGTTAAGTCAATATTTGATGAAAATACTCTACAAAACTGTGGCTTTGGGACCCCAGATATTTTACAAGCTTAATGAGAGGTTTGACAAATAACTTATAAGTTAGATACAAAAATTTATGCATAATATAGGCAAAGCCATGTAAATAAATGTAATTTTGAGTTATCTAGTTTAATGCAATCCTTGCTATGTATTTATTATTAATGTTAATACATATTATTCATTAAAAAAACCTAGAAAAATGGTGAAAATAATCTGCTGTTCACATTTTAAACTTTTCTTTAAAAAATAGCTTCAATTTATGGCCAAATAGTAGAATTCTAATACTTTCTCTTATTAATATTGATTAGAAATAGAATTAGAATTCTAGTGTTTTTCTTCTGTTTAACCTTTCATCCATTTTTTTATATTAAAGACATCTGGCCAGAGTACTCTCCCTTCAATGGCTATACATTTACTATATTTCTGGGACTATTCTTCATGGTAAGAATCCAGAGTTGATTAAAACATAGCTCTGGTGTAAAAAATGTATACCCTAATTGAGAGGCACACACATTAAACCCTAATTTTGTCATACAAGGGAAAGTGCTATTACAGAGATATCTAAAGGTTTGGGTGGGCCGTAGGATAGGGTAGTGAGATCTGGAGATGGCGGACAAAGGTCCAAAGGCTGAGTTGAGTCCACTAGTGGAATATAGGTCAAAAGACTTCTTCAAACAAAACTCAAAATCTTACAGAGTTAATGTAAGTAAAAAAAAAATCTCCAAGGAACTCTAGTTGTTTACATGGAGTAGGAAGTGACATCATCAGATTTTAAATAGATTAATTTGTTGGGAAGAGATTTTAGGAGGTTGGTTTTAAGGAAGATGAGACTAGAGAAAAGAGTCTAATGAGGAGGCTATAAAGGGAAGAGATGATGGGAGTGCAGTAGCTGTAGACATAGGGAGAAGGGAATGGATTTCAAAAATATTGAGAGAGGAAAAACTGTCAGGACTTGGTGACTGATGAGGAGCAAGCGATAGGGAAGAGAAACGGTTAAGTTCCAAGGTTTTAGTTTGGGCGACTGGGTGAATGGTGCTTTTGCCAAGTGAGCTATAAACTAAAAAGGAGAAAGTAATTGTAAGGTGGGGATTATGCGTTCAGTCGAGTTTGAGCATAAGGTGCTTTTAGAGCTTCCATATAGGAATGTCTACCAGGTTATTGGAGATCTGGACTTGACACTTAAATTTGGGGGTCATCAGCATGTAGGAGTTAGTCAAAACCACGAGAAAGGATAAGATCATCCAGGGAGATTATGTAGAATAAAAAGAGAAGTGTCAGGGAATGGAAAGTGGGAAACACCACGATATAACGGACCAGTGGAAGAAATAAAAGTAAATTCTATGACTGAGATCAAATAAAAAACCAGATAGGCAAAAGGAAAGCCAGGACACTGGAATCAGGCAAACCATGGGAACAAGAGGTTTGAAGGATGATTGATGCTGTTAAGGGCAGTGAAAGAGTCTTATAACATAAGGTCAGAAGACAGACTACTGGAGTTGACAAATAGACATTATTGTCACCTTAACAAGAGCAATGTTAGTGGAGTGACAGGAGTTTGCATTAAGAGGAAAAAGGATGAAAATAAGGAGGTGCCAGGGGATGACTAGGTAAAGTGGGTCAAGGCCAGATTTTGTTGGTCTCTAGCTAAGAAGTTGTGACTTTCTCACACTGACTATGTGGAGTTAGCTGAGATTTTTGCAGAAGGAAGTGACATTATCAGATGAATTTGGAAAGATGCTTCTGAAGTGGTGTAAAGATGGATTAAAATGAGGTAGGTATTAGAAACAGAAAAGCAATTTAGGAAATTTAGAAGCAAAAAATGACATTTCTGCCCTGCTTCCAATATGACTAAGCACTTCACGTACCACAGTCAGAAGGAACAAAATATTTTGCACCTTGAGATAATCTAGAAAATACCACTGTTTCTGATCCCCAAAATATAAAACTTTGAATATTTCTCTGAAACCTGAACTTCCTAACAAAACAGTTTTGAACTTGATTTTGCCCATGTTTTATCTGAAAATTTATTATGACCTCTGAAAATGTGAAAACCGGGAGGGAAAGCTGCTGTTTCCATCAAGAACGCCATGAAAACACCATGTAAACTAGGTCTCCTTAAGAGTGTCATGTTTTTGTTTCCTTTTGCTGGTGCTTCTGAAGTATAACTCCCTCCCTATTGTTGTAACTAAACATTTCTTTCCTTTTCTAATTTTTTTCTCCCTAAGGTCACACAGCAAGTAATGTAATCAAGGATTAGAATTCAGGCAAAGTAAATCAGAACCATCTCTCTCAACCTTTTCTTAATTTATCCTCCTCCTTTTCAGAATGTGTTTCGTTCCTGCTTGGTTGTCATCTTATCCAGCCTGCCTCTAGCATATGTTTTCCTGTACACAGGAGTTGACCAATAAGCATTTATTAACAAAAACAAATGAGAGCAATATGAGCCAAAGGTATTTATGTAGAGTTAGAGTGTACACGACATGTGCTTGGTTACCTTGAGTATGACAGTTTATCAAAACATCCAATTGCTTTGTGAACATTTGGTTGAAGTGCTTAGCAGTTAATGCTGTAATGATGATGACAACTTTGAAGGTTAACAGTACTCTGCTTATAATTGGTGAACTGAGAGCAGTATTTTAAATTTTCCAGAGCATTAGGCATGCATTCATCTTACAGAACTGACAGAAATATTTTACTTTCCGATTAAAATTTAACTGAGATGATTTCGAGGTATGATGGGAGGTAGCTGGCTGCATATGATTCATCCCTCTAAACCTCCCAAGGAAATATCCAAGAAAACCAAAAAAAGGATGTAAAGTCATAACAGCACTGGAAATAGGGGTACCAATCAAAGATTTCCCAGTATCTGGGAGGGACTTTGCCTAATTTTAGGGAAGCTGGCTAGATTGAGAGATATTCAGGGACTAACTACTGTCTAAACTTCTAAAATATTAACCTGACTAGAATGGAAATGGGAGGATACTTCTAGGAACCGTACACTGTATATCCCTGTACCAGAGATCTGGCTTAAGCTCCTGGCCAGAGAGGCTGTCAATCACTCCCCTATTCCGCACTAATGGCTTTCTGAGGCAGTAA